AAAACTATCAACGACTACCCTTCTTTAACTTGTATGTCGCTATTCCAGCAGGAATCGGTCCAGTGAAATAGATATATAATACCTTGTCATTCCTATTCTCTTGACAGCAAAAACCATGTATACTGAGAAGGATTTGCAGAATGGAAGATATTCCCGTAATTGTAATGGCTGTGTATCTTTTTAAGACAGACAGTTGTTGACATGTTGGTTAGGAAGTCACAATATGTACATTTTATATGTTTTATTTGAATAATATTTGTAAGAGTTCATAGGCTTTTGGAAGACCAAGCCGACACAAACATTGTCCAACAGAATCTATGCACAGAAGGAAATGATGCCACCTATTTTGTATGCCTCTGGGCTGAGCCTGGCACTGACATGCAATACGGTGGGCCTCCTATTGAGCTGCCGGTGCCAGTAACTCTACATTTCTCTCCTTTCAAGTACTGTCAGCCTCTACTAGGTTTTGCTTGCAAGGTTCATAAAGACTGTCATTCATTGTGGTGTAGCTACATAAACACCGATTTGTTGTGCTCTAAATGTTAGTGACTTCACAGCGAAGCTGTTCTAAACAGTAAATCTCTTGTAGAAGAGCCACACTCTCTTTCCTGCTGAATGATATTGCCACTGCTTTAGACTGTGCTTACTTTAAATAAACTACAGCTGGAGGGGATCTTCCCCTTTTGAATGATGGATTCTGAGGGGTGTTTTTCTCCCCCTAATCCTAGTTAATGTTACTTTTCTGACTATGTCAGACTATCCAATTAGGCCTAACGATCAGTTACAAGCACCAGCACACTCAAGTGTTCAGTTTTTCAGCCTCTTTCTTTCTTAATGCACACACCATATTAAATTAAACTCTCTTCCAGTCTGCAGCTTTTACAAGCTAAATGAAGAGACTGTACTCTTTCTTTGCAGCTCTTCATCAGATGCAAGAGAATCGTGTGCCCCTTGACTTTCACAAGGTTATTCAAGAGAATGTTTTTTATTCAGTGACTGGGCCTGAGAGACCTGCAAGCAAAGGACAGTGTATCGGCGAGCTATTGAGCAAGTGATATAAATTCTTAGGGGTGCTTTTGGCCCCATAATAAAATGGTGGCAAATGTAATCATGCAATATTGACATGGTTATTGCTCAGGTTGTGGTTATATCACAGTTTGTATTGTGTTGCAGTTAATGTTCATGTGTCCTTTTTATCAGAATTTAACAAGGGCACTCCAGCATGCAAGTTTTTTTTGTGTTTCTTAAGAGTGCTGGGATGCAAATTTACTGCTCCTCTATTCACATGACTAGAAACGCTAGTGTTCCACTCTTCCCGACAATCCATGTTCAGGAAAGCATTCAGGAAAGTAAGAGGAAGGGAAGGACTTCACAGCTCTAGCTTTGCAAATGTGAAAGGGGAGGAAAATGAATTGTCTTTTTGGAAGAGTCCCTTTTGCGCACTTGCATCTTGATTTGGAAAGGGTGATGTGGGGGCAGCAACAGATTTCGATACAAACCTATATGCAGAATGGAATTGGAAGGATGGAAGGAAGCTGCTTTACACCAATTGTCCTTTATGGTCTATTCTAGGGTGGGAAACCCAAAGATCTGCCTCTGAACTGTGGTCCTGCCCCACAGCTTGAGATGCCACAAGTATGATCCATAGGGTAGGCACCCCATGCACATTACTACTACTACTACTACTACTACTACTACTACTACTACTCTTATGGCTTGTACCCCATTGCCATGATAGATATTTGGTAAGGGTTAGCACTCACTACTCTGGCTGAAGTATTCTGCAGTATAGCTGCAACCTCAGGACCAGCCAGAAGAGAAACCTCATACAGGACACATTACAGTACAGTGGTACCTCGGGTTAAGTACTTAATTCGTTCCGGAGGTCCGTTCTTAACCTGAAACTGTTCTTAACCTGAAGCACCACTTTAGCTAATGGGGTCTCCTGCTGCTGCCGTACCGCCAGAGCATGATTTCTGTTCTCATCCTGAAGCAAAGTTCTTAACCCGAGGTACTATTTCTGGGTTAGCGAAGTTTGTAACCTGAAGCGTATGTAACCTCAGGTACCGCTGTAGTCTAAATATGATTACCAGCACCTGAACCTGTGAACATATCACAGGAGGCCTGGGGTTCCAACATCCCATTCGGTGACTATTTGAGGGTGCAACAAAGACAACAATTTAGGTCTTTTTTGCTGCCTTTGTCACTATATCTTAGGCATGGCGGCATGCTTTAAACACTGTTCCATTGGTTTCACACGTGATCTTGCACCACTTCTAGTCCAGCCATCCTCCAGCCTACATCATTGTTTGTAGCTCTGAGGAAAACCAAGGAGCACAACAAGCTCCATAGTGTTGAAGTGGGCACCCCCAAGCTGAACCTCATCTCATTGCTCTACAATAAGGTAAGTGCATCAACAAGAACGACAAGAGTTTTATATCAAGACCACAACGCCCCTGGTTTGCCACCACAGTGCTAAATCAAATGTGCAGAACGCTTCTGTACAACTGAAAATGAGAATTTGCTGTCAAAAACACTTCCAGCTAGACATAAATTTTTGGATAGTGTCCCAGAATGCTCTGGGTGGTCTTTTAAGACTACAGAGCACAGACCACAGTGGGCTATACATTTTGGCAGGGCTATCAGCTTTTTTCATGTCTCCTGCCAGTGATAGGATGGAAAACATAACCAAAGATTTGTGAGACTTTTCTTGAAAACATGCCATGAAGTAAATAAAGGAAATGAAGAAGGAAACATTTTGTACTAATGCTGTACAGATGCCAATCTACTTCTTAGTGAGCACCAATACCCCAAGGTAAAATTGGATCTTAAAGCATTCCTCCCCTTGACTATGTAATCTGTGTGGAGTAACACTGTGCGTGTGTGTTTTGTTATATCATATGGAGTTATTTGGTTACATATTTATGTTGTTCTTGCTGAAAATGTAATGTAAGCTGTTTGTCCCAAACCAGCTGAAGTTAATTGACTTTAAGTTCCAATGAGGAGGAGCTCTAAGTACTTACATAACAAAGGGCCTCTGGATAGCTCAGTTGATTAGAGTGTGGTGCTGGTAACACCAAGGTTGCAGGTTTGAGCCCCATATGGGATAGCTGCATATTCCTGCATTGCAGGGGGTTGGAATAGATGATCCTTAGGATCCTTTCTAGCGCTACAGTTCTATGATTCTATGAGACTTGTCCTGAAATATGCCATGGAGCAGCTGGAATAAACTGAACATGTTGGACAACATGATCCCCTCAGAAGGACTGTGGTTTCTGATGGGTTACCTGAGACAAAATGTGACCCATTTGGAGATCGTAGTTGGCTAAGGAAGGGCTTTCCAAAACAATTGGTTGGCATGCTAAGCAGCCAGTTCTGGGCACCACAATTTAATAAGGATATTGACAAGCTGGAGCGTGTGCAGAGGAGGGAAACCAAGATGATCAAGGGTTTGGAGACCAAGCCTTATGAGGAACTGTTAAAGGAATGTTGAGCCTGGAAAAAACTGGAAAAGAGGAAATACATGATAGCCACCTTCAAATATCTAAAGGGCTGTCACATGGAAGATGGAGCAAGCTTGTTTTCTCCTGCTCTGGAGGGTAGGACCCGAACCAATGAATTCAAGTTACAAGAAAGATTCCGACTAAACATCAAGAAGAACTTTCTGACACTAAGAGCTATTCAACAGTGGAACAGACACTCTTGGGAGGTTGTGGACTTTCCTTCATTGTAGGTTTTTAAGCAGAGGTTGGATGGTCTTCTGTCTTGGATGCTTTAATTAAGATTTCCTGCATTGCAAGGGGTTGAACTAGATGGCCCTCAGGGTCCCTTGCAACTCTACATTTCTATGATTCTTTGCACAGCCACCTATGGAGGAAAACAGAAGAGTCAAGGGGTTAAGAGGCATGCTCAGAGTGCAAACAAGACTGGGCACCTGGAAAACACCTTGACATCTCCTGTTAAAACAGGGATGGGGAACCTGTGGCCCTCCAGATATTGTTGGATTCTTAATGGCCAGTGGTCAGGTATGATGAAATCTGTAATTCAACAACCTCTGGAGGCCACAGATTCCCCACCCTAAGTTAGAAGGATCAAACGGCATAGGAATTGATGCGAAAAGACCTCTGCCTAAGACCTCAGAGACCTCCTGCCACCTTTCAGAGTCAACTATATAACAAAACAACAACTATATTGGGCTAGTTAGACAAACAGTCTAACCTGGTGTCAGGGGCTCAGGGGCAGAGCCAAAGGGGAAAGAGGAGTTGGAGAGCGAAGGGGAGGAATCTGAGGGGAGCTCAGGAGGGTATGACAGTGACCCGAGAGATTCCATGAGTCTCTCCAGCGAATCAGAAGATTCTCAGAAAGAGGCGCCCAGGGTCAGGGCAAGGGGGGCCAGCGGTGAGTCCCCAAGCGGCAGCTGGAGATCAGGGCCAGCTTCCCTGCCAGAGCGTAGCGGGGGGGAAGAAGCCCACAGATCAGAACCGGCGTCCACTCCAGCAGGGAGAGAGAGAGAGTCAGAACTGACCACGCCTCCGCCGGAGAGTGGAGGGGCGGAGCGGAGGTCAGTTCCAGCCAGCCCCTCCGAAGGAGGAAGCAGTGACAGGAGCAGTGTAGCCGTTAGGAGGAAAGTGGCCGGCTGGGCGCGCGCGCCAAGTTCAAATGTGCAGGCACGCGGGTCAGCAGAAAATCCGGATTGGGAGCCAGGTCCCAAAGCCCGCCGGAGACAGGGGGAGGAGTCAGAGGAATCCGCCTCCGAAGAGTCCAGGAGGGGTGGAACCCCAGGGGGCAGGGGGACCCAGAGGAGAAAAGAGCAGAGGAAGAGGTGGAGCAAAGCTCGGGTGTTAAACTGGTGTAGGGGAGGGGAAGAGTCAGACGGAGCTTCGACGGTCTAGAGTTACAGACGTAGGGATGCGCGCCACGGATGTAAAACCAACAATGAACTTCAATAAAGACTTTTGTATATAAAGAGACACTGGCGTTGGTCCTTTGTGAGCTGGGACCTGAGGGACCCCTGACACCTGGTATAAGGCAACTACCTATGATCTGGGAATTCATTCTTGCCCTCCTTGTACCTGTCACACAGCAATGCCAATCGTGGCAGACAAATTAAGAAAAGAGAGCACCATTTCACTTTCTCCGCACAGAGCAGGCTCTAAATCCTCCAGATCTCTATTACCAAGGAGATTGCTATGACTAACATATGCTTTCACAATAGCTTTGATAATCATCACATCACTAACAATGGAATGCGCCTAGGCTATCTTAGCTGAGATTCTAGCACCCCCTACAGTTTGTCCCTTAATTAGCAGTTTATCGCTTTTGTTCTCTTGTGTTGTGGTAATTTTAAAATGCAATATTAAAAACAGTTTGAAGCAAATTGTTGTTTTTTTAAATGTTGCAGAGATTTTCCTTAGATTCTGTACACCATGATGTGCTTCTTTGGATAGACATGGTATTTTTTCAGTTAAAGTTGTGAGGTTTTTCCATAGACATGGCTCTGAAGCCTTAATGTGCTTCGGATTTCCTTTAAGGCATTTGCCCTTTTTAACAGATCCCTGTCCCTTGTCCTTAAATCTTGACGATCTCTCTTCCCAGACAATGCATGATGCTGATGTTGTCCTCTCTTCGGTCGCATGCAGGCCTGCAGCACCAATCTACACCCTGGAAAAGAGAACAAACCAGTACAGCACTATAGTAACAGAGGACTGTGAGACTTATTTCTTCCGACTTTTCTTATTCTGACTTTAGGTTTACCAGAGTTCTAACACCTCTTTAAAAGCTCTCAAGTTGTCAGTCATTGAAGGCCACTCAGTGGTGTGGGTGGCTTTCCTACTTTTCAATGTATTAGTACTCTCTTCTTAATCATCCCTCTTTCCCCTTGTCTGCTACTGTCTGCCATACTGTTCTGTGGCTATTCTGTGGTTTAATAATAAGCTGTTCACTGATTTAACAATGCTAAGCTGTGTTCAATAGATCCTAGTTAACCCACTGATCAGTGGCCTACCCTCTGAGACAGTCAGTTGATGGATGACAAGAATTCTTCAATTAGTGTGTTCTTAATAAGCCAACTAGCCCTGCTGCAAAGGCCAATCAAGTTAGGAATTATACAAAGTAGACTTCAGGAAGTGTCTTACCAGCAGCATCAGGCTAAAAAAAAGCCTGAAGCCCAATGATGAAGCACATTCTAGTGGCCATTAACATTTAAGTTACAGAATTCACTATGTTCTCCTTATTGGCTAGACTATCAGAATCTTAAATTTGCCTGCAACTGGGAAACAGGCTATTCTTCTCTAATGTTTGCTCATGTAGAAGGGCATGTAGCTGAAATTTTGTTTTCTAGTCTCTCCCTCACAAAAAGCACCTGAAGGCAGGAGGAAATGCTTGGGTATTTAAATTTAATAAATAATTTCATTTGTTTAATTAAGTGAATGCATTTGTTTAAAATTAATATTTGTTTTATTATTCTGTGCATGGATACAGAACACTTGCAGGCACACCAGGGATTGGCCCATTGCATCGTATGTTTCCAACAGTGGGAGGAAAAATGCAAATTCTTCCTTTGCCACTCCTGATTACTTCCCTGCCTTGGAGCTTCCCATGGGCCACATGGCAGAGTAGTGGTGGTGGTGAGAGCAAAGTCTGGTGAATGCCTTAGTACTCTCTTCTTCACTGCTCATGGCAGCCGCAGTGGCACCAGCAGAATTATGACAATGATGCCACCTGCCACCATTGCAGAGTCAGATTGGACCTGGGTCAAAGATGATGGGACAAGGAGATGACATGCCGGATGGACTAGCTCTTCCTGTTTGTTGCCCCATTTTCTATTGGTCCAGATTGTCTCTGCTGCCAAAGTGCTCTCCAACCATCAGACCCATGTTAGCCAGAACCAACACAGTGCAGAACTGACGCAGCAGCCACAATTTCAGGTCCCAGGAAGAAGTCTTGTATGTGTTGAGTGTGCGCGTGCATGCGTGCGTGTACATACATACATATGTACAAAAGGGTACAGTTGTACCTCTGGTTACAAACTTAATTCGTTCTGGAGGTCCATTCTTAACCCAAAACCGTTCTTAACCTGAGGCATGCTTTCGCTAATGGGGCCTCCTGCTGCCACCACACCGCCTGCGCACAATTTCTGTTCTCATCTTGGGGCAAAGTTTTCAACCCGAGGTACCATTTCCAGGTTAGCGGAGTTTGTAACCCAAAGTGTTTGTAACTTGAAGCGTTTGTAACCCGAGGTACCACTATATGCTGTTCATACTCCCATGTCCCTGACTGTTGGTCATGCTGGCTGGACCTGATGGGAGTAGAAGACCACAACATCTGGAGGACACCAGGTTGCAGATGGTTAGCCTAGTATTCTTCTACCTTGAGTCCCCAGATGTTGATGGTCTACAATTTCCATAATCTTTGTCCATTGGATAAACTAGATGGGAATAATGAGAGCTGTAGACCAATAACATAAGGGGATCTAAGATTGTAGAACCCCTGCTGTGTTTTGAGTTGTGGCCATGCTAATATTGGGCTTTCCTGTGGCATCTACAACTAACTTTCATAGGAAAGGAGCACAGACAATGGGCACCCTACTCAAGCCTTCTTGTTGTCTAATTGGCTCTGTCTGCTTACCCAAATGTCAGCTTTTGCCATGACGTCATTCATTGGCTAAAAGCAATGAAGGGCAGGAGTAGCATAACGTCCAAACTTATGGAAACTCAGAACTGTGACGCACATCTTCCATGATGCAATCCCAGGAGAATCACATGACCCACACCTTGATGTCACCATGAAAAGAAGCTTGTGTTTTTTTCAAAGTGAGAGTGCAGTGTGAGAGTGTGGCATCCAAAATGGCTGACGCAATCTCATGGGAAAAGAACAGGGCACAGGTATGGAGTAGGCTATTTTTCTTCAGAGAACAAATGAGGAGCATTGTGGCTGCACATTTTGCCTCAAATCTCTGTTTCCACCTGTGTTGGAAACTTACATTGATTAAAAAGAAAGATGGGAATTTGGGGGCTTATGACTCAGCCAGGAGTAATGCACACTCACCACAGATTGAAGCTCTGAAAGGGGCTGTATTGTGATCTAAATGGCTGAGTGACAATTACTTCAAAACAAACTATTTTTTGAGCCCAGGATGGAGTCAAGGAAGCTCAGCACCACCATCAAAACACAACAGTCTGAATCAATTCAAGCTTTAAAATGAGCTTATTTTCCATGGTGAATTTTTGCTCGGTTCCTCTCAGCAATTTTCACCATTATGGCTGCAGTCCCAATGAAAGTAGTCCAGACTGCATAGTGTTGCTGTCACAGCAACTGCTCTCAAAGAGCTTTGCACAGAATTCAGCACATTGCTGCTGCTCCAAAAGACAAGTGCTAAATAACAGTAGCAACAGGCATGAGGGCACATGATGCAGCTGTCTTGCTGATGGTAAGCAGGCTTCTGCCTGGTCAGCACTTGGATGGGTAGCTATCTGGGAAACCTATGTATGCTGCCTTGACCTCCAGGATGGAAGGAAGGAAGGCATGATATAAATCTACTAAATAAATAATAGGGGTAATATTGCCGACCAGATATACCAGGATAGCAGCCTGCAGCCCGAGGCCCGGGGAGCGAGGCGCTGCGCACCCCAGGCTTTGGGCAGCTATCCGCAAGCCTTTGGAGCCCGGCGGGAGTTCCCGCCAGGTTCAGAAATCTTGCGTATAGCAGCAAGCTCCGGGAGCGAAGGTGAGGTCACGCGCAACCTCGCCCCCGCTCCCGGACTCGTTCTGAGGGCTGGGGTCGGGGGAAGCTCAGGCTTCCCCCGCCCCAGCCCCGTGGCTAAAATGGAGGCCAAGACAGCGAGCGGGATGGATCCCACTGGCTGTCTTGGCTTCTTTACTCTTTGGGGCTGGAGTGGAAATAAATTTTTTTTCTTCATTCCCCCCCCCCCAAAAAACAACTAGGTGCGCTCTATGGTCCGGTGCCCCCTATAGAGCGAAAAATACGGTAAATCAGGGAAAGGACAAAGTACCTGTTTTACTCTCAGTATAACCAGGAGCTAAATATATAATTTTCCTCTCCTTTCTTCCTCTCACTTCATTAAGGAAAGCCTATGTGATAATCTCATTAATCACAAAAGACTTCAAGGAAGGAGCATGAGACTAGAGAAGACCAGCACAAAATTAACCTCATCCATGAACTGGTTGTCACTGCTGTGTTTGTGTTGTGGTGATGCCAATAGTGTGTCTTCTAATCGCATCTATAATTTTCATAGGAAAGGAGGGAAGTAAAATTTAATAAATGATTCACTTTTATATTATTGTGAAAACTGAAGCAATAGCAACACCTACCACAAGGGGGAAACATTGTGCCATGTAATCCATATTCTTAAACTATGGATATAAATTGAGACACTTGTAGAATTATAATGCAAAGTAACTTGATTCTCGCCTCCTGCACTAATGTGTGGATCAGAACATAATTGTCCTTTGGATTTCACACTTTTCCCAGTGTTATGATATAGTTCTTGGCAAGAAACAAAACAAAAACAAAACAACACAAACAACACCAAAATGCATTAAAATGCATATTTTATGATAAAATACACTTAGAAGTGCATTCACTGAGATAAAGTACATATTTAAAATAGTATTTGTGATAAAATGCATAATTAAATAGATGTTTAGGAATTCTCATGCCATTTATTTTTTTTAATCAGATACATGCAGAAATAGGACCTTAAAGGACTTTTGAAGGAATACAAGTGAAATTCACTGGAAAATATGTGGACTAGAAATATATAGATTCATCCATCCCTAAGTATCAAAGGCTGAAATAACTTGTGTTCTGAAAATGAAGCCTGGGTGAATAGTAAAATGTTCCCTTCTTCAATTTAGTGCGTTCAAGTTCACTATTCTCTTGGTAGCACTAAGAAGATCATTCTGTCTCCATAAGCATTTCTGTTTGCCCAAACAAAACAAGCTACCACCTCCTCCCCTCTCCCCACCCTATTTTCAGGGTTCAGCTGGCACTCCCAAGAGGACTTGGGGAGGAAAAGGAGAAGCCCACCACACTCATAGGAATAATTGCACTGGCTCCTGCTAATGCAACAATTTAGCTGAATGCAGCCCATGGAAATTCATTGGTCAAAATACATTTCTATAGGCCTCTGTTTCGTTGGGGTATAAATGATAGCCACCAGTTTCAGTAACGTCACACATTTATATTTATGGATACTAAGTAACAGACCTAATGTCCAATGTGATTGGTTGAAAGAAAGAAGGTAGGAGATTTTGGCACTGGGGCAGACAACCATATGTGGAGAGCTTTTAAAAGGGGAAATAGGTAAGGCAGTGGGATTGTATTTACAGCAGCACATCTTTAGGGGATATGTATTGATCCCCAGTTCCTGCGCCATTCATTAAAAAAAGTCAATAGATAAAAATATATTATGGGAGCATTTCAGCAAGGAGTAAATAATGACAAAATGGTATGAAGAAGGGGAAAGGAAATCTAACTACCTATCAAACCACCTGGACCACTTAATACAGTTCATTGTGACAGCTGTAACTGTGTGTTTACACAGATAGGTCTGTTCAGCCAAGGGACAAAAATGCCTGGTGGAAATAATGATCATTTATTTTTGAATGTAATGGATCCTTTTGCCTGATGGGAATTGAACAATCATGAAAATAAGGCACAAGCCATCTTGATACTGTTAACATTCACCCCTCCCAAACCATCACCCAAGGCATGTCCTAATTTATGGCCATGTTTTTACTATTTTATGGTTTTACCAAGGCTTCACATGCTCTGGTTCACTTTTTGTTATCCTAGTCCTCGACCCGTCATAGCTCCACCACACCCAAGACTGGGGCATCATTTCCTCTTATTCTAATCCAGAGCTGCCCTTCCCTGTGCTGCAGCTTGTGGCATTTAGATCTTTCTCTAATAGTTGCATGTTATCAATAGCATTTGCATCAAAATCTGCTGCTTGTAACTGCAAGATACTTGTCAATATGCTGCAGTTTAAATCTTGATGAACATTGCCAATTTTTAAAATAATCTTTAAAATATATGGAGTGGCAAACAAGCCATTTATTGAAAATTAAGGTTAAATTAAGCACCCAACATCTATCTCTGGTAATAACTGCCCATTTTTGCCAGTCAAACTGTTGATGGATGAAATATCGCTGTAATAAATCTAGTGCACGCCTTCATGTGACATCCATAAATGGGTGGAATAAATCGCAATCAGCAATCTGCACATCAAGTATGGAGAGGCTAAACTGTATGCTAAATTATGAAGCTTATGCTTTAATGATTTTTATTGGTGTTTTGTTGTGATGCTGTTTATTATAGTTAAGTACTTTGGACAGTGAGGCATTGGAGAGCAGTCAGTGAAACCAGCCAAGTTAATGGGACTCCCTGACACCTTCCAAATGTACTGATAAATTATTAGGGAACCTGACCAGTTAATCTCTGTCTTCCTGTTTCTTGTTCTTTTTTGTCACTGTACCTTCAGAAAAAAGAGCACACCTCTTTGTTCCTTTAGCACTGACCTTTGTGGACGGACTTTGACTAAATCTGACCTCTCTGCTCTTCCTGCCTTGTCCTTGTCCTTTTTTTATTTACCAGTGTCCCTGGAAGTAGTATATTTGACATATAAACAAGGGGGCTCCCCAACAAACTGTTGCATTGTATCCCTGGGTGTGAGCCTGGGGTTGGAAAAAACAAAAATTAGCATCAAAGGCAGGAATCCTTGCTCTAACTTGAGTCCATGTGCAAAGCTTGCTTGTTTGCTTGCTTGTTTAGAACATTTAAAAATGCAGACCAGTCACCATGCAAGTCAATGGAGCACAAGGCTTCTGCATGCAAATGAGTGCTTGATTTGCCTGGCAGGAGGCAGTATTAATAGGTTGCCCTTTACTGCAGCCTGAAAGATATAGGGAACTTTTGCCTGTGAATCAGCTAGCCAGAGTTTCGCCTCTGAACTGCAATGTTAGCAATGGATTACTTGGCAGGACCTCTGTATGCTATTCTCTCTCATCACAGCTCTCCAACACTGCAACATGAGTGCAACAGTATACTGCAGCGCTGGTGGATGCAACTCTCTCAATCTATCCTGCAACGGGGGAGTTAAAAGCAACAGATAACTCTACAAGGTTGTTGTACCTTCTCAGCTTCAGCCCATGCTCCAGCCTACAACAGAAGCCTTAATACTTCTGGACAGTATTGTAGCCCGAACTGCAATATTCAGTGTGAACTACAGTGCATAGCTCCATGGGTTTGTCTTCATGCATTCCCTCCCCCACACCCACCATCAATTTAAAAGCAAATACTGCTTCTGACTCTACTTGTTGCATGAATCAGCTGGAAGGGTGTGTGGGATGGGGTGAAGTACAAAGCAGCACAGTCAGGTGGTTTTCAACAGAGGCATCTAAAATAACTGGATGCTCTGAAGCTTTTTCTGTATCTTCTTTCCTTCCACCCACTAAAAACAGGTGGCTGGCATCCCTTACCCTGTAAATGTCAGGACTGGTTAGATGGTTTGAAATGCTCACAGGGAAGTCAAGCAATTAATTCTCCCCCTTCACACATTCTCAGGGGTCTGTCTTGTCAGACAATTCAGCTGTATCCTTAAAGAATTTCACTCCCCTTGCTGTATTTACCCCCAGGGAATAGCTAGTCTCTCAAGCGAGATTAGGATCACTGTAGGCTTCTTCCTTTTGTATAAAGCCTAAGCAAGCAGGGCTGGGGGAAGGAATCAACCTAGAGATGTGAAGGCCCAGGAAGGGGACGGACAGATGGGGGTGAGTGTTTCCAGGCCTTCACATCTTTACACTGAGTTTCCTGAAATTTAGAATGTCTCTGAGGGAGACTGCAAGTACTTAAATGAACACTACCTGCTACATACCGGATGAACAAGTTTCCTAACATTTCTGGTATGGCATCTGAAGGTAACTTCACACATACACATTCATCACTGACTGAAACATCATGATGACTTGCATGTGCGAAAATGCCAAATGGCACAAATAGATCTTTCATTTTACCTGTCATGACCTCAAACAGTATTTTTCAATTGAGGTACTTCACACATTCAGCTGTCAGTCTCTGAGTGATGAGATTTGCTTCAGCAAACGTCCTATGTCAAGTGAAATAGGGTATACTTGTTTTCATACATTTGTATATCCAGGGATTTATTAAATTTTTATTTTCAGCTTTCAGTCCAGTGGAAATTAAATGCGAACGATGTAAACAGATTACAATACATGTCTTGATTTTGCTAGCAGGGAATAAATAATTGTGGAAATCTTCAAAACTTTTCATTTCCCTTACAGCAAGAAAACATATTTGTAGATTTGGTTTTTGTTTGCTGTTATTTTGTTTGCTTTTATTTTTGCCAAATATTATAAATTTTAGAATTACAAATCTTAAGGCCTAAAGCAAGAAATCCTCTGCCAGTCTGATCTATTATGACCCCCTACCAACTAAATTATGCTGCTGAAATAAAGGAAGTGGAAAGAAGGGTTCAATCAGTAGTAGTTTGGTTTTGGTACTCAAAACAAATTCCTGGGCTCAGAATTCTTTAATTCTATGTGCATACCTTTGGCACCTGATTCTCCTTGATGGATCTTGGTGTTCTTGGTGGTTGTTGTTTTTTTAAAAAAAGATCCTGCATGCCTGAAATCTGCTCACCCCATAACAATGATGACTTCAAAGTTGCAGCTGGGTTAGAGTTCCTGTGGAAAGAGGGGACAGCCATTGTTCCTTCAATTACACAGTTTCCTACTCGTGAGACAGTCATATAATGCTTGTTTGTGGTTATGCACTAAATATCGATTCAGTGAATCAACACAGGGCAGGAATGGTGACACACAAATACAGCCTGCAATTTCCCATATTATTTAAGTAAATGCCCCTGAAATGTTTACTTATATTTTCTCCCTTTCACAATACTGTTTTTAAAACTAAGGAGTAGCGGAGGGGTAAGACTCCAGACAATAAAATACACTCCCTTTGTGCATTTGCACACAAAGGCAGTTGCTTCAAGATGCCTTTATATATGGCCAAAACTGGCCTTTAGTTCTCAGAAGCAACAGGAAGTGAACCTCTGAACAATAGCTAATCACCGGAGGTTCCCTGCCTCCCAAACAGATGCTTATCTCCTTCTCCCAGGCTACCAACTGGGGCTTCCGGAGTCAGCAGAACTCTGAGACAGATTAGTTTCTTACACACACACCAGCCACATCATGTGAGAAGTGTTCAGCGGGTCTATCTTTAGAACTATTTTCCTCAAATATTTAAGATGATTTTAAAATGCAAACCTAGATACACATGCAAAGGAAAAAGTTTTGTTGATCTTAGGGGAACCTACTTCTGAGTAAACATGTTTAGAATTGTGTTGCATAGCCTTTAAGTCCATCTGATTAAATGGAGCATTTAAGTTCTGGTTAAACTTAAGGTGCTTCAGATTAAGCCAATGCAGCAGCCTTATTTCGAAACCCTCGGTAATGGGGAATATTTAGGGTTCTTCTCCCCCCCCCCCAGTTCAGTTTTTAACATATCAACAGGAATGTAACACTTTGCACCTCAGGCCTCATCACGGGACTGAAACTGCCTTGGTCGCACTGGTTGATGATCTCTGGCAGGCTAGGGACAAAGGTGAGAGCTGTTTCCTAGTTCTGCTGGATCTCTCCGCGGCATTTGATACCATCGACCATAACATCCTTCTGGACCGTCTTGAGGGGCTGGGAGCTGGGGGTACTGTCATACAGTGGTTCCGCTCCTTCCTCCTGGGCCGTGTTCAGAAAGTGGTGGTGGGGGATGAGTGTTCAGACCCCTGGGCTCTCACTTGTGGGGTGCCTCAGGGTTCTGTCCTCTCCCCTATGCTTTTCAACATCTACATGCAGCCGCTGGGAGAGATCATCAGGGGGTTTGGGCTGGGTGTTCATCAGTATGCAGATGATACCCAGCTCTACCTTTCTTTCAAATCAGAACCAGTGAAGGCGGTGACGGTCCTGTGTGAGTGTCTGGAGGCGGTTGGAGGATGGATGGCGGCAAACAGATTGAGATTGAATCCTGACAAGACAGAAGTACTGTTTCTGGGGGACAGGAGGCGGGCAGGTGTGGAGGATTCCCTGGTCCTGAATGGGGTAACCGTGCCCCTGAAGGACCAGGTGCGCAGCCTGGGAGTCATTTTGGACTCACAGCTGTCCATGGAGGCACAGGTTAAATCCGTGTCCAGGGCAGCTGTGTACCAGCTCCATCTGGTACGTAGGCTGAGACCCTATCTGCCCGCGGACTGCCTCGCCAGAGTGGTGCATGCTCTGGTTATCTCCCGCTTGGACTACTGCAATGCGCTCTACGTGGGGCTACCTTTGAAGGTGACCCGGAAACTACAACTAATCCAGAATGCAGCAGCCAGACTGGTGACTGGGAACGGCCACCGAGACCATATAACACCGGTCTTGAAAGACCTACATTGGCTCCCAGTACGTTTCCGAGCACAATTCAAAGTGTTGGTGCTGACCTTTAAAGCCCTAAACGGCCTCGGTCCAGTATACCTGAAGGAGCGTCTCCACCTCCATCGTTCTACCCGGGCACTGAGGTCCAGCACCGAGGGCCTTCTGGCGGTTCCCTCACTGCGAGAAGCCAAGTTACAGGGAACCAGGCAGAGGGCCTTCTCGGTAGTGGCGCCCTCCCTGTGGAACGCCCTCCCACCAGATGTCAAAGAGAACAACAACTACCAGACTTTTAGAAGACATCTGAAGGCAGCCCTGTTTAGGGAAGCTTTTAATGTTTGATGTATCACAGTATTTTAATATTCTTTTGGAAGCCGCCCAGAGTGGCTGGGGAAACCCAGCCAGATGGGCGGGGTATAAATAATAAATTATTATTATTATTATTATTATTATTATTATTAATGGAACTGTAGCAGCTGAGGTCTTAATTTGTGAATTGTTGGGACAAGTAACCTCCTTCATTATTACCCCCATTCTGACGATGTTTCCATATCAACCTCCCTGGAGATAAGATTGTTAGCACATCTCTGATGAATGAACACAAACCATAATTCATTCAGTAGTGAGTCCTGTGCCTCCTGTAATACCTACAATTAATATTATTAATTTATTTATACAATAGCTTCCATATACACCATTTATTTGGTTTTGTTTGTTTGTTCATTTCTATACCGTAAACCTGTGTGTGTGTGTGTGTGTGTGTATGTGGTGTCAAGAATATCAAATAATGCCAAAATAACAAGCCACAGAGAACACAACAAATACAAGGTGCTTTACAAAGAACAAGAAGCATAGTATAAAGGTAAAGGGACCCCTGACCATTAGGTCCAGTCGTGACCGATTCTGGGGTTGCGGCGCTCATCTCGCTTTATTGGCCGAGGGAGCCGGCGTACAGCTTCTAGGTCATGTGGCCAGTATGACTAAGCCGCTTCTGGCAAACCAGAGCAGCGCACGGAAACGCTGTTTACCTTTCCACTGGAGCGGTTCCTATTTATCTACTTGCACTTTGACATGCTTTTGAACTGCTAGGTTGGCAGGAGCAGGGACCGAACAACGGGAGCTCACCCCGTTGCGGGGATTCGAACTGCTGACCTTCTGATCGGCAAGTCCTAGGCTCTGTGGTTTAACCCACAGCACCACCTGCATAGTATAGGAACTGCTTAACTATTTGGAAGGTGTCTACGTTTACTGTGCTAATTGAAAAGCAGACATGGTTTTTCTGACTCCTGATAATTGGGTTATCTCAGGCAAATTGAGCACAACATTCCAGTTTTCTAGCTAGTACGGGAGCTGCTTAACTGTTTGGGGGATGTCCATGTCCTCTGCTTTGGGAACCTGTTTTCAGGGCCTTCTAGTAATCAGTTTGTCCTGAACAAGATTTCAGCTTCCTAGTGGGTGTGCAAGTACCGTAATCATTTGCGGAGCTGAGTGGTAGAGTGCTTTGTGTGCAGAAGGACCCAAGTTCAATCCCCAGCATCTCCAGGTAGGGCTGATGTAGATCCCAGTCTGGAGAGCAGCTGACAGTCAGTGCAAAGGGATAGTGTGGGGTTGCCGTTGTCCTTGGAACATTTTCTGGAGGGGGGAAACGACCAGGCACCCCCATAACAGACTCCCATCAGATCCTGGCTTTGGCATGCAAGGGAGCTGTCAAGGCAGCTTTTTCGCATCCAGCCACAGCTCCGCTTCAGCTCCACTCTGCTTTAGCTCCGCTTCTGACCCAGGGTTCAGAGTGGAGAGTTGGTGGCAGAGACCTGCCGCCCTCTCCTTGGCTGGGCTGCACCGTGCGCAGCTCCACAACAGTAGAGAGAGGCTGCCGGCCGTGGCAGCTCCATCCCTGTGTCAAGCCTGACCCGTGTGTGGAGTGATGCTGCAGAGTGTGACGGACCTGCTGCTTCCTCGCACCCAGCCCTGTAGCCCTAGCAGAGAGAGGAGAGTGGGTGCTGTGTTTCCTTACGGTCTATCACTGAGTCAGTGTAACCAATACTGAGATAGATACATATATATCAACAGCCTGATATGTACCTATATCCCTGCCTTTGGGTATTATATATGCTGTGTTTTTATGTCTATAGCTTTTGGAGTTACATTTATACCAACTTTCTGTGTTCTAGGGCTAGGCAGTGTGGAAGTACTGTACTGTAACCATTTGAGAGAGGGAGTAACCTTCTTGCTCCTTAGTTCCAGATGTCATAGCTAATAGTTATGTTTGTATGTATACATACTGAACTTTCTTATGGAGTGAATCAGAACGAAGTGTCACGTTTGTGTGGTAAGCAAGGACTGCTGTTGCTGCCTAAGATTTTTGTGGATAATGTTGCAAGGGATTTAGCTTGAGTTCAGATACAGTTTCCTTTGTTCCAGCGCAAGTGGGAAGTCGCAACCACCAATCCTTTCCTTCTACAACCCTTTTTCTTCCCACACTGCTGGGAGCATTTTGTGTGTTTGAAAGAGCATTACTGCAAAGTTGAGCAATTCACACCTCCTTTCTCAGTTTCTTTCAGGCAGTCCTTGCTGGCTGGTCATCCCTCTCCTTCATGTCTTGCTGTAGTCAGTTTTAGTCTTAAAACCTTTAGAAAACTATATTCATTGAAATGTAAGGAGCAGTGTACCAAGCATATATATATATATGGGAAACCTACCTTCTCTGATTCCTTTTTGTACAATAAGCTGCTTTTACCTAATTCACATAAGAATTACATGAGAAATATTTTAAATAATAGTCTTTCTAATCTCTTTTTCACTGTTCTTTACAATATCCATTTGAAAGCTACTAACTCTTGAGACCTTGGGAGTATAATAAACCTTGGAAAAGATTGGGCCAAAACTATTATGCACCATCTGTCTTGCAGTATTTAGCAAAGGAACTTATAGAAAACATGTTTTCTGGCAGATAAATTCCTAACCATATGTCCATTGCATCATTTAGTGTGAAACTAAATAGACTTTTAAATATTTGGACAAAATCCTAGTCTATTTGAATTAGTATTCAACACAAAAGCATGGGAAATCAGTTAAGCCGCCTGCAAGCTCTTAGCACCCTATTACCTACCAACCATTGCTTAGTGTATATAGAATCAGATTACCGGTACTTTCTACAAAGATTTGAGCATCTCCAAGGCCAGATTAAGGTGATTGGGGGCCTGGTGCTGTTTCCAAAACAGGACCACCCCCCTTTCCAAAAAAGGGAACACATGAAATAAGTTACCACAATAAACGTTTTGTGGTATCTTGAAGACTAACATGTTTATAATGACATAATCTTTCATGTACTACAGAAAAGAAATGAAAAACGAGCAGATTATGAAGCAAGAGGAAAATCACTATGCTGCATCTTTTTCCTTTCTCCTCTGCTTCTTGGCAAAGCAGCGAAATCTGCCTCTCAACACAACCAACACACAGGCAGGCAAGATCAAGAAAGATGGAAAGGAGCCCACCAAGTCACTTCTTCCCTCCCCCTTCCAAGGGGGCTAGGTTAGAAATGTACTTTAAAAAGA